TGTAATATTTGGAGAAGAACTGTGCAGTTACAAACAGATGTGTATTATCTAATTCCAAAACATTCAAATCCAGATAGACAGTTGGAATGATTATTATTATTTATTTATTTATTTATTTATTACATTTATATGGCCACCTATCTCACACAAAGTGACTCTGGGTGGCATCTTTCTTGTTAAAAGAAAATGTGAATCCAGTAAATCCAATGATTAGATCAAGAATCTGATGAAAAAATAAGAATACTATTATACATGGATATGAAATCTATCAAAAGCATTCATGTCCACCCATCCAAATGCCATAAGTCTGAGATGGAGCAAGAAATGTGGAGAAAACACAAAAATGAGTTAAGTATCAGTAACTTTAACATCCACATATTGCCTGGAGAAGTGTATGTTACTAGTTCTAAAAGAGACAGCTTCTATTAGTGGAACTAAAAGGGGGAAATTCCGCGTTCCCTTCTGTACTCTTACGTACCCATAAAATACATTCCAGGAATTCTCCAGAAGATTGGATAATACTCTAGAGCATATTTTGAGGGCAAACAGGCAAATATAAAGGATAATACAAAATCTCATAGCTTGAGCAGATTTCCCCACAGATAAACTGAATTTTGCTGAGTATTTCTATGTGTAATAAATGATTTCGCTCTTGAATAGTTAGTCACAGAACTGACCAATCTTTGTTCAGCTACACAGGAACACTGGCTACAGTCCTATTACATTCAATAATTGTGTAAGTGGATAGCTGCCCAGAAAGCCCAAAAGCTTCATTTAACTTCTAAAGGAGGGAACATTCCCCCTAAATGGAGTGTTAAAAGCAAGTTAAAAGGAAAAATCAGAAGAATAAAATCTGTTAAAGATTATTTAAAGCCAAAATAATAGAGAAAACAGATAAAGAAACTACTGGCAAAGAAATAAATGAACAAAAGATACATATGAGGTCATGAGCAACATCAGGTAGGGTATAAATATAATAAAACATATTCCAATACATCAATAGAAATGTATAATATTATGAGATATTTCATATTCATTTCCTAGTCAAAATCCACTTGTGGGAAAGGTATCAAAAGCAAAAAGACTTCCTTTAAAAATTGAACTGAACAATTTTGGCTGTTCAGGAGCAACTGGGAGAAGCAGCTGGTGATTCGCCACTTTAAGGAGCTATGGGGAACTAGGGCTTGGAGAAGCTGCTTTTCTGTAGTAGGAACTGCTCTTTGGAATGGCCTCCTATTAGAGCTCAATTTAACTCTGACCTTGGCGTCTTCTAAAAGTAGCTGAAAATGGACCTCTTTTGGAGGGCATTTAATTTTGGATTTTTTTAGGTTGCCAGGTTTTTATTGTTTTTATTGTAACATGGATGTTATAATTGTTTGCATACTCTGTAAAGACACCAACAATCTTGTGGAATTTTGACAGGGTATAAATTTAATTAAAAAATTAAAATGAGATTTTAAAAATCTGGATTATCGCTGGATAAGTCATGAAAATAGACAGGAGCATCAACTCTGGCCAAATGCATGCCAGTTTGCAATATGGCCAGAAGACTACAGGACTGAAACAATGTGTATTTCTTTACATACCACAAAAGCAGGAAACTCACTAGTGAAAGAATGATTTTATTACAGCCTGTCCCCAATTGTGCACCTCAGTGTATGGTGGACTGCAATTGTCATCATTCTCAGCATAGTCAGTGGTGCTGGGGAAATTGTAATTCACAGTGAGAAGGTTTTGTGCTGCTCTACTAATATATCTCAAGATTTAAAAGGATGAGGGAAATGAGAGGAAGATTACAGGGAAATAAAGAATTTATTTACTGTTGAAGAGGTTCACCCTTGAACCCACTCTTTCAGGAAAGGCATCTTGAAGAACATAAGATTGCAATCCCAGTTTGGATAGTCTGCTTCCTTGTACATGATGGGAGCAATTTCCGTTTCCCATGAAAATGCAAGAAATAATGAAATGGTTCCAAAACCGATGGGCACATTTCAAACAAGGACTAAATAGCACATTTACATACATTTTTTAAAAACTTAAACATAGATCAACACATTAGTTGATCTAAGAAAAATGTAGAAACTGGCACCAAAATAAGTGTTTTTCCCAGAGGACTGCTAATATAATCATAATTAATAACTAATCACAAACCCTTTAGCTTAATTCTGTAGCAGCTAAATTGTATAAGAAGCAATGTAATATTCTTGGACTTGTAAAGAAAGAAACTTCTACTGTCTCTTGAGTCATGCAGGTTTTCTGATGGGTCAGTAGCAGATACGAATTCATGAGCAGTTTTTGCTATTAAATAATTTCCTAGAGAATTAATATTGGAATCAGTGAAAGTTGAATTAGTCATAAATGATCTGGAGTTAGGGTGAATAATGAAGAGCCAACCTTGCAAATGACAAGTCATTGAAAATAGTGCAAAGTAAGAGATTTTAAGTTCTTAAACAATGTCAGATCAGTATACAATGGAAGTGGGTTTTTTTAAGTAAGTTTTATGTTGGAGACTAAGAACTATGGCAATAGAACTGCAAATATCATAATTCTTTTTATATAAAGGCTCAAGTTGCATTTGAAATATGGTGTGCTTTTCTGTCATACCACTTTAAAAAAATGGAAAGCAAGCAGAGGATGCGGGGTGACAATGTATAATGAATATGTCCTATTCTTTCTGTATTATTTTTATAGCGCTTTGATATAGTCAGACAAATAATAAATAAAACTTTTTGTATTATATTGTATTGGAGAGTTATCCTGCTGACGGATGGACAGAGTCCTGAGTAATCTGGGATAGGTCCATGGCTGTCATAGTAGCCATCTACTCCTGAGCTGCTTTAGGCCCCTCACCAAGAGAAGGCAGATAGAAATCCCCCATTTTCAATTTCATTCTCAGCTGAGCGTTGCTGCTGTTTCTGTAGCACACAACTCCCAGCATCACAATGCATTGCTAATGACATCACCACACTTGTGCCAACTTCAATCACCACTTCAGCCACCTAACTGCCAGCTAATAAAATAATAGTTCCTTTCTAATCCCTGCTCATACCATTTAACCTCCTCTGGTTCCTATTACTCTTGAAATTCATTGCTGGAAGATATGGTGATGACCCCTTCCTTCAATGAGCTCCCAAATCAGGTCTGGCACAAAAGAGGTGGGGGAGCCAAGTTTTTGTTAAAACTGTCCCTTGCCAGTTAAAAGCCAAAACCACTCCAGTCAATTACTCTCCCAACAGAATCAGCTTAGGCTTGAGAGCCTTGTTTTGTTGAATTATGCTAAAATGACACAGAGGTGGTCCTGAATGAGAAGTGATGCACTGTAGCTAAGACCATAAACAGATTAGAGGGACTTTTCAAGAAGGCATTATATGTGTAGCATAGAAACTGTATCTAACGTTGCTGGCTCTGCCTTCATCCATGCACACAGCTTACAGGAACTCCCTGGCTCCTTAGGGAGCAGGCAAGGAAAGGGGGGAGGCAGACAAGGAAATGGCCTTTCATTCTGTGACATCTACTCCTTTTCTATATTTCCCTCTTCCATGCCTGTCCTTACACTTAGTAAACTCTAGGGAAGAGACCTCCTTAGCGTCTGTATCTTAGTCTATCCTCCCAGGAAAAAGAACCAGCAGTGCTACGTGCCAACTGCTGTGTTCCAGGAACTAAGTATATGTGGCTCAGAATCTGTGTAACAAGAAGGGATGACTATTTTGTCTGGCCAGGAGAAAAGAGAAAGTCTTCTTTTAAAAAAAAAAAAAAATCCCAGCCAGGGAAACCCCTCTGTCCCAGAATCTCTAGTCATGATCAACAATCTCTCTCAGTTAATTCACCTATTTTCTTATAAAAGAGGCCTGAAAGGAATAGTTACTGATTTCATTTTTCTCTTGTCCTCAACTTCATTCTCTGTTTTTGCCCACATTCTTTCTACATGATTAATGAAGATTTACACAAAGCTGCAGGACAGGGGAGTAGAAGGTATCCAGCAACACAGATCATGGACCTAAGGTTTTGGACTTAAGAAATTATGTGTATTGTAGTTGTGGAAAACTCCAGGGACATCAAACTACTTCTTTACAAATTGAGCCATAATCAGTTTGTGTGTTTAAAGAAAAGTGTAGTGGCAAACATACTCCTCTGTGCCAGCATTAGACTCCTGGCAAAAACAATCCAGCTTCGTTAATCAAGCAAACAAACTTATCCACATTATATAATTAAAGTCAAACTTATTTCCAGTTAAATAGAAACTGGTCACTCTAAACCAGCCTTCCCTAACTTGGTGCTTTCTACATGTGTTGGAGTACAGTTGTCTGCAAACTTAGCCATGCTGCTATCTGGGTTTGATTGGAGTTGCAGCCCCTTTTAGAGGGACTGATTGAGCAGATTGAGGAATGTTTTTCTAACTTATTGTGTGACTCTGGCTTTAGAGAGAAAGCCTTGAATCAAAATAACAAGCATGCTGGTTAGGTTTAAGTAGCAGACAAACCTAGTGTAGCCTATGTATATATTCCACTAATCTCTATGCATTCTCCTTAGGTCTTTGATTTTTCATTAAGCTTTGATGATGTTGCAGTTCTAAATGGAATGCATGATGGGAGACATGTTTCCTGGGATCCAACCTCAGTTGTTTAAATGCAAGGTTTGTCTGATTTCTTGTTGCAAGTTCTGGGCAAGTTATTTATTAAGGCTTTCACCCTTTGCAATTCCTGCCAAATAACAAGGAGCATAAGACTTCCGTAATCGGCCCATATCTTCTGCTTCATCTCCATTAGCTTGGTCTACCACCTTATGCACATAGGGGGGAGAAGGTTTGAAGCAGGGCCCTGCTACAGAAGCATAATTTCCCCATTCAACTTACAATTCTGCTCTAAATTTCATAGGGGGCATATGTGCTTATAACTGCTTTATAGCCACGGTTTTCATCCTACACTCTTATTGTTCATTGGTTTTCTTTCTTAATGCTGTGTTTTCATTTATTTCTTTGGTTTATATCCCAACCATTTAAAATAAGTATTTTAAAATAAATGGTTAAATATAAATTTGTTTATATTCAGGATGGTCTGCATAGCAATGCCCCTTCTTATTTTTCCCCAAAAAACAACCCTGTGAGGTAGCTTGGACTGAGAAAGAATGGCTGAGGGAGGACTACAGTTGTGTCTCCACGGTTCTAGTCTAACACCTTAATTAAGTTGCACTTCCTGATGTTTCCTTACTCAAACCAATTCAATACATAGTAAACACTAGTTTATCTAGCTTAGTATTGTCAACATTAAATGGCAACCACTGCCCAGGGTTTTGGCCAGGAGCTTTGCCCACCCTACCTGGAGATGTCAGGGATTGCAGGGAGAGCAGATCCTGCAGTTGAGCAATTTCCCTTCTCCTCTTACATTTCTCAGTGTTTAAACCACTTTGTGATCTTGCTCCTTTTCTCAGCTACCCTCTATGGTCTCTCTGTCAGGCAGTAATTTTGTTAAACATCCACTCCCTTCTGTTTCTTGTCCTGATGCATATTCCCTTAGTCCACATGTATGCAAAATATTACTATTTTAAATATTTGACTAATCTTCTTGTTATCTCATTTTTTCCATTCCTTTTTCTTCTTGGCATACTATTTTCCTTCTTTTGCTTCCTCCTTGTTGGTTAATTATTATTTTTTTAAAATGTTTTTCATTTTCTTCTAGCTTGTAAGTTCTTTCTTTCCTACAAGTACCCTCTTCCCACATGCCATTTTTGTATTATGAGCCTGTAGTTATGCAGTGTTGCTGCTTTCACATTTTTATGTGGAGTATTTTCAGAGCAGTGATTGGTGAATTCCACAAGGCCCTTTCTTCTTTGACCCAGCGTTATTTTCCTCCATTTCTAGGGTTTGGAGCAACTGCATAAAAAGTAGGTTTTTTAGCAATCTGATACCATTGTTCTGCTGTCCTTCACAGTGTTCCCTTGAGCAGATTTCACATCAATGTCGTACCCCCGCATAGTCTCTTGCCCCCAACCAAATCACCATACTTCCTTCAGCTGGTGAGTTCCACATCTTTAAGGGCCCTCATCCTCAGATATTGATACTGCCATTGAACCAAGGGGTCCATCCATTTGTTACCTTGTGGGTTTAGCCCAGTGTCTCAGAAAGCAGTGATTATGCATCAGTTTATTCAGCTTTTCCTTCTACATTGATGCCTTTTGAAGACCAAACACTCAGCTGTCTTGAAGGGTTCTATTCCTAGAGTAAACAGATTGATAGGATAGCACATCTCTTGGTTTGGATGTTTGACAGCAATATCAAATTGTGAAGGACTTCTTCTACCAGTTGATGAAAGATATTATGCTTCTCTAGTCCTCTTCCCCATGCTCCTAGTCTTAGTGAAAACAGCAAGAGACTCCTGGGCTACCATGCATTCACCTCTTAACAAGTTGAGAATCTTTATAAATTGAAAGAAGAGGGATGCTGGTTCTCATTCCAACATTCACCTCCTAATTCTGTCAGAGTGGAGGCGTCTCTGACAGGTTCTGCTACCAGCAAATTCTGTGCCCACGGTTAAGCAGGAAGTTGGACCATCATGGCTGCAAGCTGTACTTTCGGGTTATTTTGCCCTACATAGCCAGAGATGTTTCATGAAATATGTTCATTTTTATGGTATTAGGCATCCCAATTAATATCTCATTTGCCAGAGAACAAGCAGCAGATAGTTCAAGTTTTTCAGACAGAAGCTAAGCAAGAACAATTTGTCATGGAACTGATTCAGTAGCCAGGATAATGATGTCTTCCATTGTCCTTTGTCACAACTTGATTTCACTCCTGACTGACACTGGAAACCAAGACTAGAATTTAGGATTTCTGTTTGCTGAAGATGGCTTATTCAGCACTAAGATTGATGACCCCCTGGACATGGTTCAAAGTTATACACAACAGCAAACCCTACTTTGTTCCTTCTTGCAACTAACATTGGTCCCACTTTTTCTTGCTCATTGGCAACTAGTTTTTCTAACAGGGTATATATCGTACATTGCATCCAGGGGCTCCCTCTAGATATGGCTTCCTCATCTAGCACATCAGGGTTTTATTCACCAAGCTGCATTCAAGGTATGTGGGCATCCATAACTAATGTCCTCTGGGGTCTTAGACTGTATTCTATGGTTACTTTATTGAATTTTGGGCTAACTCTACATTGAACCGCTACATTGGTTTAGGGTACTTTAAGAATTATGCCAGAAGGTCTCTCTCTCCTCTACAAACAGTGGCAATTGAAAATGTCTTCTGGAAATTGGAAGATATTTTACCAATCCCCAGAAGGATGGCAGTCTTAGATCTGTATTGAATATTGATAACCTAAATTATTTCTTGAAGCAGTCCTGATTTAGAATCTGTTAGTCAAAACATAGTCCATGGCTATCACCTTGCATTTCACTTAAATCAGGAGATTTTATTGCTTTACTTTTTTCTCAGTACCTTAACAACAATGGGTATCTCCATTCCTTCAGTGTCTAAAGAGCATTTGGCTTTTACTTGGCTATATGACAGCATTCTAAAGGGACTAGCATTTATTTTTAGACTTCCAAGGTACATTTAAAGGGTTTAATCTCTCACCCAAGCATTTCTCTAAATGGGTAAGGGCAACCATCAAGCTTTGTTATGAGTTGGTTAAACAGTAGCCTCCTCTTGGGATGTGCAATTACTGTGTATGAATGAGGGCAATTTTGACAGCCTTTTTCAGTATGGTAAGTTCTCTTACCAAAATTAAGTAGGACAGCTACTTAGGCTTAGTCTTCCACCTTCGTCCAACACCATAGACTGAATCTGTGATGTCAGACAAGAGCAGCCTTTGGAAGAATAGTCCATTCTTTGGTAGTCTTATGACAACCAGACCTTTTCCATGGTGTAGATCTCATGAATCAAAGGGGTTCAGCAGGAGGTGCACCTAGTTATGTAGAATGCATGGAGGTGGGGGGACTGCTCTAATAATTCTTTACATTTTAGATTTGGTAAGACACTCTGCAGATGCTTCACCAATCTTTGGAAATCAGAGGTATCATCTATCAAAAAACTCCAGCTATCCATCATCCAGTTCTTATGATTTTTACAATTCCAGAATTACAATTAAAAGAAAAAGAAGAGGGACGTGCACCAGTATGCAACACGAAACACCTGCAGGCATGCTCACAGTGTTCAGGAAAAATGAACAGGTGCAACAAGAGAGAGGCGGGGTTGAAACAGGCATACCAATAAAGAGAAGCCAGAGAACATCCTCTCCTGATCTTCTGACTTACGTGGATAGATTTTTTTTTTTTTTTTTTAGTTCAGTGGTAGTGCAGTTAAAAAGGGTTTTTGGTCTTTTGTTTTTGAAGACTTCACAGCAATTCTGCAAGATACAATAAATAAAAAAAGCAACAACATAACCTCAGTTATCCCTGATCTGCAACATTGTTGGGAGTCCGCGAATAATGCCAATTGAATTTTTACCCTCAGGTAGCTCAATGTCCTTGGTTTTTTGTCAAGGAATTGAGAGAGGTGCTGTTAGTATCATATCTATCTTAGCAAGGCTTTTTTCTTTATTAGCTACAGCTATTTCACCTGAATATATAGACTGTCATTAGATACCACTCCAAGTAAATCTACGCTTGTTTAGGCTGTCATAAAATTTCAGCCAGCTCTTCATAACCTTCAGCAAGTCCTCCGGGTATATTGGAACTAGGACTCAGTTCTCAGGTGCATGACTTCCCAACACATTTGGAAAGCCACAGATTGTCTTCCATGCCTACAACTGTTGTCCTTGAAAAGCCTCTTATTTCATGAGTAGGTATACATGAAGTCTAATACATACATACATACTTGGGGGCATCTGTGGGGCAAAACCTTCTCTCAACAGTACGATGGGCTCTATTTTGAGTTTTAGCTTTGTTGCAGTTTCGCTAAAAGCTAGTTTAGCTTTTACCCAACGTTGATTTGGAGTCAAATACTGTACTGTTCTTGGAGCTTGTATTTAAAAGCATATATTAATATCTTTATAGTGCAATCAACTTTTAGAGAGCACTATTCGATTATCAACTTGGTATTTGGTAAGTACTCATACTGGTCTGATATTTTAGGAGTTCCTGTGTCCAGAAGAGTATGGAAAGTCTGACTGTGATTTATATTGTTTTAGGACTTCCTGGAGCAGTTTTCCCACTGCTGTGCTGTTTTAGTCGTATCACAAAAAAACATGTTCCTTGCTTTTTATCAACACCCAGCTTGCAGTGGGTTGGTATTGTTTGTCCCTGAAGCTTTTTTACTAATACTTCAGAGACAATGTTTTTGCTCTTGATTACATTTTCCAGAAGATTCTGTCAGCATTTCAAAGAAAGTTCAAGATTTGTCTCCTGAGATATATTTGTTCATGTTTCAAGAGACAACTTTATGATTAAGTTCATTTTCCCCCCATCTTTCTCTTTCAGTGTATCTTAAACTAATCCATATACTATGTGTATGTGTAATACCGAATTAGGATTTTTAACCATACTGTTAATACCATACCAATAAGCCATAGTTGCCAGTTTCATTCATTATTCTATGCCAAAAGCAAACCACATAATGGTTCAGTTCACAGAAAATGCTAAACCATGATGTGATTGCAAGCTTAGCTTGGACTCACTTAAATCGTTCATTTAAATACATCAATGTGTGAAACAAACCAAGAAATGTGGTTATTTATGGTCAGGATTGAGCCCCAAGGAATCCAGAGTTCTTAGACTATTTACCTTATCCCAGTCAGCCAGAAAAGGATGTTGCTTTTCCCTTTCACTGCCTGAACAAAGATTATAGTTTATAGAGTGACTCTGTAGAATGGGTCTTCTCTAGGTACTCCATCTCCAGTAAATAGTGTTTTTTTTAATAGGCAGCTGGTCAATTTTGCAAAGGAGGCTGGGGCACTGGCTAAGATAATAGTTCCAATGTAACTGGGACAGTTTTGAATTTCTTTGATAATTTGCTATTGTGTTATGAGTCAGATTTGTTATGCAAGTGCAGCCATACTAGAACTAATCTAACTTAGTTTTAATAATGGTTAAGATGTTTAATAAACTCTTCTCATACAGCACAGCAAACCACCACCAGCCACAATTTGAGATTCTCCTTTCTTTTTGCCCAATATCAAAGCAAACATTGCAGTGCCTGATTGGCAGGTATTTCCTTTTTTTATATATATATTTTTGTAAAACCTGTTTTAAAAGATGTAGTGGTCCAATCTGGG